TTTTTTTTTTTAACATATAATGTATTATTTGTTTCAGAGGTAAAAATTTTTAAAAAAACAACTTTTTTTTAAAGATTTATTTGAGAGTGCATATGAGCCGGGGATGGGGGGGTGGAGCAGAGGGAGAGAGAGAATCCTCAAGCTGACACCCCGCTGAGCTCAGAGCCCAGAAAAACTCTTTTATAGGAGATCGTAAATTTCTTTTTGGAAGAATATTCTAAAATTTAGCACGTGACTCATTTGACCCCTTGAGATGGAAATTTTTTTTTTTAAAGATTTTATTTATTTGACAGAGAGAGACACAGGGAGAGAGGGAACACAAGCAGGTGGAGTGGGAGAGGGAGAAGCAGGCTCCCCACTGAGCAAGGAGCCCGACGTGGGACTCAATCCCAGGACCCTGGGATCATGACGTGAGCCGAAGGCAGACGCTTAATGACTGAGCCACCCAGGCGCCCCAAGTTGGAAATGTTTTTACCAGCTCAGTACATTGCCTGACAATTTGTACGTGTTCCATAAATATTTAATGATTGAATAGATAGAGTCAAAAACTTGTATGAGCACAAAATACGAGAAAAACAACGAGGTCTACTTTGCTTTTTAAAATTTGCGGCAGCCACCCTCAGAAATCCAACATCTTGGAATTTCTATTGGGTGGGCAGAGAAAAGCCTATAGGCCCCTTTCCCATTTCTTGGCTGATAGGATTCCAGGGATATTTACTGTGTGTGAGATTTCCAGTGACCTTTTCAACCAAGAATCTACATGGTCACGGGAGAGTCCGATGATCAGGCCCCTCTCTAGAGTTTAGACAGAACACCTTTCCCAAGAACTGGTTTTGAGAATGTTAGGACAGCAAAGAAGAACCAAGAGTGCAGCGGTGGGGTTGAAGTCAGGTGAGAGAGAGGGGGAGAGCCCAAAATGCTGAGATGTTTTGGTGCCAAAAGACAAACTTGCCTACTTTACAACGGTGGTGCATGCCCGTGAGCAAAATCCACTTTATCTATGAAAAACAATAAAGCTTGATTTTCCTGACAATGGTTTAGACACCATCACACAATAGGGAAAAAAAAGAAGCAAGCAGTTCTACTTCATTAGTTCTAAAACCGTGTTTATTCAGCTGAATTTAAAAGAACAAGGCTTGGATGGTGAGCGAATCATCTGCTCTGTGGGGCAAATACAAGCTCCCAGATGTCCTAGTGTTTGAATGGCAGTGTATAGCTCTCCACGGGGTCCTCAGAGAACCGTTCACGCCAAGACCTTGGCCCAGACGCTGAACCTCGCTTGCACATTTTGAAAAAGTTTTAACGTAAAAAATCTCAATTCCCAGCTTCTTTAAATGAAAAAAAAAATCTGGCCTGTTTGGGCCTGGACACTGGCAAGGCAACTCTGTGAGATCTGAGGAACTCTAAGGGCAGAAATCACCCTAAAACGTGGTGACTTGCTCTAACACTTGGGGAGACTGTTCCTTTGTTCTCCATCATAGACTTTATCAGTCAATTTAAAGCAGCCATGGAGTACTTCCATGCAGATGTTGTAGATAGAAAATAAAGGCTCTTAACATAAAATAAAACATGTCATAGAGGGGCACCTGGGTGGCTCAGTTGGTTAAGCGTCTGCCTTCGGCTCGGGTTATGATCCTGGGGTCCTGGGATGGAGCCCTGCATTCGGCTCCGTGTTCAGCGGGGAGTCTGCTTCTCCCTCTCCCTCTGCCGCTTACCCCTGCTCAATGCGCACGCGCACGTTCTCTCTCTTTCAAATAAAATATTTATAAAAAAATGTCATAGAAAGTCTGCTGTACCTATTGCTGCTTTTTTTTTTTTTTAATTTGAGAGCAAGCGAGAGAGAACAAGTCAGGGGGAGTGGTAGAGGGAGAGGTAGAAACAGACTCCCCATTGAGCAGGAGGGAGCCCAACATGCCTGAGATTCTCCCTCTCTCCCTCTCCCTGTGCCGCTCCCCCTGCTCATGCTCTCTCTCTTTCTCCAAAATAGGTAAATAAATCCTTAAAAAAAAGAAAAAAAGGAATCCTCAGTCATAAAGGGCTACTAGCCTGTCCCTGTCCCACCTTTGCATCTGGAGGGAGCCATTATCTTTACTCTTTGGACAATAAACATATCTGTCCTCTGCCCCAGAGGGAGATCCTGTATCTTCCAAGGCTATACAAATGTCCTTGCAGCAACAGCCTGGAATAAGACTAATACAGTGCAAGAAGAAACGCAAAATAAAAGATAGTTGTCTCAGAACGATGATACAATTCTGTGACATAGAAAAAAATTTTTTATTTATCCAATATTGTTAAGGTTAGAGAAAGATGGTTACTCCTAGCCAAATGAGAATATAAGCTGGTATAAATTTTTCAGAAATGAATTTGGTAATAGGGATCAATAACATCAAAAATCTCTGACCCAGAAATTATACATCTAGGAATTTATTCAAAGAAAAGCATCAGCTGGGCGCCTGGGTGGCTCAGTCATTAAGCGCCTGCCTTCAGCTGAGGTCATGATCCCAACATGCTGGGATCAAGCTCCGCATCGGGCTCCCTGCTCAGTGGGGAGTCTGCTTCTCCCTCTCCCTCTGCCGCTTACCCCTGCTCAATGCGCACGCGTGTATCTTTGGATTACTTTTAAAATACTGAATTTAATGTCTGGGATGGTATGTGTTTTCTTGATAGGTGGCTAAGTTAGATCAATCACTAGATTATCTTTTTTTTTTTATTTTGTAGTAACAGAAGACATCTTTTTTAACTATTTCATTATTGAATCAAAAAAATTAAAACTTTGGGGGCACAAATTAAGATGGGTTTTTCTGTGTGTAATTTCATGTTCCAAATTTTTTTGACAAAAAATTTATAGAGAACAGAAGCATGTTAATATAAATTGGTAATTATAGATCATTTCTTAAGCAATTCTATTTCCAAATATAAGCATAATACCCTACCCCAACATAACAAAAATATATGTTGCCTAACTTTCTTTATACAGAGGAAAATAACTTTTAAATTTTTCTTGAGAGTGTTTTAAAGTGGAGAACTTCTAAACCTCACATTGAGGATCCATCACACCTTTTCTGCCTTGAGGTTGAAAGTAGGTGGGGTTTTCTGTAAGTTATGAAAGGTCAATTTATTTTTTTTTTAAGATTTTATTTATTTGATAGAGAGAGAGCAAGCAAGAGAGCACGAGCAGGGAGAGCAACTGTGGGAGAGGGAGAAGCAGGCTCTCTGCTGAGCAGGGAACCTGATGCGGGGCTTGACACCAGACCTTGGGATCACGACCCAAGCCAAAGGCAGACGCTTAGCCAACTGAGCCACCCAGGTGCCCCTTGAAAAGTCAGTTTAGAGAAGTAAATGATAGCAGAAAAACCATGCCCTATGTAAATTCCATACATAAATCCTTAGGGGACAGAAAAATCTTAAAAATCAGACTTGTAATGAACTATAAACACAGCTGTTAAACATGAGTATTTATTAACATTTGTTAAGTTTTCTTTTGTTAAAAGGAATTTTTTTAGGGACGCC